CTGGCAGGTCCAGGCTCCTGCTGTTGGCTTTATGGCAAAGTACTCCGTTGTATCACGTTAAAGCTTGATTCCTGGCACAAAAGGGATGTTTGAAAGGATGTCTCGCTGGGTTAGCAAATACCAGAACTTTTTATAGTAATGTGTCCAAAATGCTGCTTGTATAGGATTTGTCACTTTTGTAAGAAAAGAAAAAAAAATCACCAAAAAAAAAAAATCATAACCCCCCCACCATTTGATGCCATTACATAAGATTTCATTTAAACTACCTCTCAGCGTGAAATTCAAGCGTTAGGCTAAGTTTGGTAAGGTTTGCTCACTGTCATGTTATGTAAAAGTTAGTGAATGCCAAATTTGCAAAAGTTTATCACCAAAAAGGAAATATGTCTTTTTTTTTTTTTTTTTTTTTCCATGTGTTTGAAAGTATCCAATAGTTTCAAGTTACTGTAAACTCTGTTGTGTTCTTTTAACTTCTGTAGTTTCAATCTTGCAAACTTCAGCTGCTGGACAAGAAATAAATCATAACCACGAGCTTTCATAATCACGGTCTGCTGGGTAAAAACAATTTTGTATGCAGCTTTGTCATTTGGCTATAGATAACCTCATTTACCAAATGTACCATTAATTTAGTCTTTTTTTTTTTTCTTCAGTACTCAAGATGTGAACTTGATGAATGGTACTCTGTAATGGGTGCGTGCCACAAATTACATTGTCTTGTTTGCCTCTTTTCTGAATTTCAATGATCAGTTTATTATTGCAGATGTGAATGTTGCGCATACAACTTAATTTCTGTATAATTGTATAAAATATAAATGGAAAAAGTTTTAAGTTTTTACCCAGTATTTAGAGGTAATGTATTATATTAGCCTTCTGTTGCAGTTTTACCTACAGAGTACTGCACTTCTTTTAAACTGGATCATACCATCTCGGTAGGTGTAGATAGATCTTTTTGCATGAGTGTGTTTTGGTTTTGTTTCTTTTCAATTGAAGTTCGATTCTCTTAAGTTCTATTTTCAGTGTTTGTGTTTACTATTTGTGATCATGTAGTTGTGCCTTACATTGTGAAAGAATAGTCCAGCGTGCACTGTAATTCCTAAACTGCGATTTGGAAGGCGGCTGTGGATTTGGATGAGAAGATAACACCGTGCATCAACCGGTTCTGTATAAACTATGATGAAATGTTATTGAAATGTCATACTTGTTTTCTAACCTGTTAAAGGAATGATTCATGACAATAAAAAAAAAAAAAAAAAGACCCTTCTAATAGATCACTTCTGTCATTCAAAACTACCCTGCCCCATTTCAGACAGCAAAGCTACTTTTGAAATGGGTGATACATCATTTTACAAATGAACTGTTCGGAAGCCACAGATTTAAGAACAAGCTGAACGCTCCAGATTCTTAGACTTGTGGGAAGCTGCAAGAAGAACTTTTATGTTCCTGAGGAGGCAGCAATAATGACTATTTTTCAAATTTGTTTTTTCACAGGTTAAACTTAAAGTAGTTTTTCCGTTCCTAATAACTGCAAAAGGTTGATGGGTACCCTGTGGTAAAGTCCTGTCACTGGCTGAGTTCAGACACTGTATTCAATGCAGTTGGGCATAACTGGAAGACTTGGAAGTAGCACTTGTTTTAGTTCTTTAGACTAATGAAGGGCTTGCATGTCAGATGGGAACCTTTCAGGGTGGAGCTGCGTTGCAGAGAGAAGCCAGGTGATGAATGTGTGTGTGATCAGTCCCATGACAAAGCCACTGTTGGATTGTGGGGACATTCACAAAACAATGTGTTTAGCTATTGAAGCAGATCTTTCTGGGGGCTCTGTGTAGACTGTGGAGACAGAGAGAGAGAAGAGGTGTCCCCAGAAAAGCAATTTGAATTGGAAAGTTGATTTCTGCCTCTACTGCTTTCTGAGGCGTCTTTCTTTCCAGACCACAGAAGAAGAGCCTGTTGAGCTTATGTCTTCCTAAAGACAGCCTGTGTGTGAATAAGTCCTTCCCCTGGGGTGTCCTCCTTGGAGATGTGCTGGCCTCCAGGAAATACTGAGTCTCTGGGACTACTTAGTTGTCTGGTAAACTGAGCAGACCTGGCTTAAGGTAATTTTGGCAAAAATACATAGAGATGCAAAACACCCTCCCACTTCTGCCAGTGCACGAGGCACAGAACTTAGTCTGTCAGGTGTGACTTCTCTGGGCTTGGAAATCTTTCTGTCTTATCAGCATTGGTTTCAAGATAGTGTGAGGTTCTGGTGAGGCACCACGGGTGGCAGGGGGAGGGTGTTGATGCAGTGTGCGGCTGAGCTTGGGATCAGGGAGTTCGAGCACAGCTGTGTCAGCCAAGCTGTGGCTGAGCGGTTGCTGCTTGTGTGGTGTCCTGGAGCAGATCTGCTGCCTCCGCTCTGCTCTGCTCTCCTGCTTTACACGTTCACCACTTGGCATGGAGCCTGAGTGGGTGTTCCTTTTCCAGTAAGCTGTGACAAAAACTTGCCCATCATAGGCCCAGGGGAGGAGCAGTGTACCACAGCTGCCCAGGCTGCATCTGGAGGTGCTGAACCAGGCGAGTATATACATATATACAGCCTCCATACCTTAGTTTATATGTACGGGTGAACCGGCTCAAGTGGATAAAAGGTACCACCACATCCTCATGGGTGGAGCTGGGGAGGAGTGAGGTGAGGGGCAACGCTTGAACTCGTGACTAACTCCATTGTGGAGCAGAGGTGAACGCAAAGGGAACGCTGACTTCCCCGTGGGTAACGTGAACTGGAATGGCACTCCTACCATCTTCAGCATAGTCCTCATCTTCTGGCTTCTCTGTTTGCTTCCCCCTGAAGTAATTTCTGACACTCAGAGGATATTCTAAGGGCTAATCTCAGGCGATTAGCCAAGGCTAACCTGGTGAGACCACCCTCCCTCCATGGTAGTAACCTGCATGAATGTTGTGGCAAACATTTTCAGGCTGTTCTGTGGGTCTCCTCCAGTACCTCAAAGAGAAGGAAAAAATATAGTGATTAACAGGGGCACATGTCTGCTGTGTGGACCACAGATCTGGGATAGCAGTGAAGTATTGAATGATTTAATGCAAGAGAAGCACTCAAATTTGTGAAGCAAACTTGAACTCTAAAGGCTGCAATGGGTATAAACTGCATGACAGATCTGCTGTTAATAAAGTGGTGAAAAACCACAGGTAAACAAAAAGAATCCCCCCAAACCAGAACATTATTGCACTTTTCTTTTTATATGTTCTGTGGCATTTTTAGTTTAACTGAATCTTATATGTAATTATGGCCTTTTTCAAAGAAATGTAAATAATCTTATTTTAAAAATTAATGGGGAGTCAACGCAGTACGTGCTTTTAATGATCTGCCTCCACAAGCTCAATGTTAATGCAAAAAGCATCTTGTGATGTTATAGTTTAGTAGGTAGAAAGGTATACCTATCGTGAGCTATAACTACACAATTTTAATGTAATGAAATTCATTAATACAGTTTGAATGATCACAGAATAATCCTTCTAGACTTTTCTGGTGAATTAGTTCTCCTCACCAACCTAGGTTCTTTCCCCTGTACTGCTTTCTAGGAAATGACAAGCTGTATTAAAGCTTCCCTGGATGGCAAAAGCCTTCCCCTTGCTGAAGTAAAGGAGCATCTAAGAACGATATATTTATTGCATGGCTTATTTTCCCCCTCCAGTTTATTCCTACATCCCATGCTCAAATTTCTTCGCTTCTGTCTAGTCAAGTCAGAAATCTGTTAGCTTCAGAAACTTAAGGCATGCTGGAAGAAATAGCTGTAGCTATTTCCACACACTACAATAGTCTTCCACTGGCTCTATTGGTGCTGAGCTGACATTATTAAATTTCAGAGGATTCAGCTGGGAAGCAGAAAGCAGTGCTTTTCTTGGTTTCATGTTGCGTGGTGTAATTGGAGACTGCCATTTCTATCTGTGACATCCATGTTTTCTGTAACAAGAAAAAATATTTTGTAAACCAAGACAATCTAAAAAAGTTCCAGTAATTCAGATACGTAAACACCCAGAGCTTTGAGTTTTATTTAGACTTTCTTCAGGCCCCATGTCCTGATGAACATGAATTATCCCAGAACCAAGACTTTCCCAGTTGCTCAGGCCCCTACACGCTGCCGGAGTCTGTCTCTGGAGCCAGCAATTTCCAGTGAAGGTTTCCTTTTTTGGTTGGAAGGTAGGATTTTAATGCTGTGTTTCCTTGTAATGGTAAAGTTTTCCACAGGCTGATTCACCCGTTTTTATGTAATATTTATTAGTTTAATGCTGTCCCTGCAGTTTGGGCTCCCTGTTCCTCTGATTAAGACAGCTGCAGTGTTATTGGCATCACAAGTTCTGTTCCCCTCAGGGATCTGTCGTGTGTTGCTACAGGAATTTCAGTTTCTAGCATCATGCTGACAGCATTCAGCTCTGTATCTACTGTCATCCAGGTATGAGGGCAGGGGGTGATGGCTGGAGAGATGGATTTACAATACGTAACTAACTTTTCTCTCTGCTAATCCAGATGGTCTGGGTCACAGAAGCTGAGTTGTTTCTGAATTGCTGTGATTAGACAAATGAGTTGGCAGCAATAAAAGCTTAAGGTCTAGCTGTGCTTCTCCCACCCCAGAGTTTTTGTTTTGCCTAGTCAGGAGCTGCTCTCCCCTCTGTAACGCATGTGGAGACACTGAGCTTTGATCCAAAGAGTAGAAACGCACGAGAAGGGGCAGCCTGTTCTACTTCATGACACGCTGGAATTCATAAATTTAGTTATTGACTCATCTGTTTGTTTCTTGTATGTGTTTAGACCCTGAAGGAGTTAAAAACATCACTTTGAAAAATAGAAGGCTGGAGAGAGAAATTGGATGACCTACAGGAGTCCCAGCAGATGATGTGACAAGAGTCTGCATGTGCAAGCTGTATGTGCCTGGCAGAGCACAGAGCTCGGCTTTGGCATGGGGCAGTTGCTCTGGCCCCTCTGGAGCTGCTGGCAGAGGAGGGTTGGATGTGCAGGGGGGTGGTGGTTGTGGTTGCTTACACAGGGATTTGCCAGATGGTAGCAGACCCGTAGGAGGCAGGATGGAAACTGCTGAGCTTTTCAAGGCTCAGGGAGGAGAGCAGGGGAAGAGAAGGGAGGGCCGGACAGTGGTATGGGTTTGTGAGAAACAGCAAGGTATTTCGGGTCTGCGTTCTCAAGTGTCTGCTGAGTATTTGGTCTCTGAGAGAGAGGTGGGAGTGGGGCAAGGGTCTCACTGCATCTACATTCAGTGTATTGCATGCACTCCCCGTGCAGTCGGTAGAGCGCGGTATGGCAGCGAGCAACAGCTGGGCCGGGTGAGCCAAGGTCTTGCAAGGGAGTTGGGAGCCGAGGCTCTTCACAAAAATCAGGAGATCTAAGATGCAGCTCGCAATGTAACAGCCTGCTGCTTGGGATGAGTCAACGGTAATATGACACACACGGCTTCATTCAATTTGCCGTCTCCCTTTTGATACAGCTTAGCTAGCTCAAGGCCCTGGTCTGACAGTGCTCACCAGTAGCAATCTCATCCAGATCATCTTCCTGTCTGCCTTGCACAATCACATCAGCTAAACCCATGAGCTCATCCTGGCTAGCAAAGTTTCTTTAAAAAATATGTTGGTCATGCTAAGATTGGGCTTCTTGGGAGCTGAAATAAGGTAGTTCATTCAACCAGTGCTGAAAAGTCTATCTTTCCTAGGGCTCAGAGTGCCCAAAGTCAACATAATGTGGTAATGCCACCACATCCAAGTGAAAAGAATCTTTCACTGAAGAGTTTTCTCCTTTGATGAACTGGACTTGGGAGACACTGAGAACACGGTAGCCGTCTGGTGTGGAAGAGAAAGGTAATATTTCAATAACAGGAGAAGGTAACGACTTCTTAAGTAGACACCTATTCCAAGTACGGAAATGGAAAGAATTCACTCGTTGCTTTTCCCTGAAAAAGTCTATCTACTGAGATTTACTTTTAAGAACTATTAGCGGTAGTCAAATTTCTGTGCATTAGGGATTAGAGAATGAAATTCAATTTACAGGAGAAAAATACTTCTGTGAAGTGCCTACCACTTTCAAATGTATGTGCATAAAGTGCTGTTACTAGAAATGTGGTGTGGTGTGAAAATGTGGGGTAAATTTATATAACAGTGGAATTAATCATACCATCTGTTCAATCTGAAATTGCAAGATGTGTGTCATGCATAGATGAGCATGATACAGCTTTCTGATCTGAGTACTACTGCACAATAGTTGGGGGGGTTGTTTTGGTATTGACTTCTCTGGAGGGGCTGACAGTCTTAATTTCTGTGATACAAGAAACAGCATTTTTTTCTTTAGCAATCAGAAATTATAATGTTTTTGAACAAGAATATGACCTGCTATCAACCCAATGTAAAATTGGTACACGTTCAGCAGCAAAAGTTCTGTAACAAATGTGTGAGCCAGAGCACTGGGGTGTTATTTTGTTTTGGTTTAGTTTTGGTCAAATGTCCCAACTGTAATAGAGTCTTATCACAGCATGGCTGCTTTTAGGCTGTGATCCTCCTTTAGGGAAAGTGTAATTGTGTAATTAGAGAAGGAAAAAAGAGGGTGTGCTACTTACCTTGGCAGTCTCTGTCTGAGCTTGTAGCAAGAAGATTGCTATGCACTGACGATACCTATTTTCATGCTGTATTAGGAAAGCATTTCGCAGGCTGAAGACTGTGGAAAAGTATGAAGAAGTGATATAAATTCCCTCATGCAGCTGTCAATCCAATTCTATATCACATTGATTATGATTGAAGAAATGATATATGTAATTATCTTTTCTTATTCTTAATAGGGTGATGCACCCTGATAGGGCTAGGTTTTTTTGTTGTGTAGAAAGCTTCGTTATTTCAAAAAGTTAATTCTGCTTGCATTTGTTTTATTTTTAATTACTTCATCATTGTACAGCTAAGGTGCTTTTGAGTCTAAATGAGGATCATTAAGAGAAGTTTCCATTCAAAGTGGACTAAATCATAACTGAAATTAGAGTATAACAAATATAAAAAGTTAAAGGCCCCATTTTTATTTTATTTCAAACAGGTCTGTACGATGGTTGCTACGTAGGGATTTGGCTGCGCTTGGGCTGATGGTGGGTTTGGGCTCTCCCTGGGGCATCTGCCTGGGCTGGTGCTGCTGCCCGGGGTTCCCCCAGTCGGCTGCCGGCAGCAATGTCTCGCAGGGCCGGGAGTGTTGCCAGCAGCCCTTCGGTTCCTGCCAGGCTTCTGCAGAAGTTAATCGGTGACTCTGGATGTTACAGCAGCATCTCCTGGGCTGTGGATGACTTTGGGCATTATGGGGCAAGTTTCCCTGCAAAGGGACAAATCAGCCCCAATATTTCATGTTTGGAGTGAAGGGGTGGCTTAAGTCTGCAGCTTCAGGTAGCCAAAATCCTGTGGCAGATGGCAGGTGTGTGTCCTGGTTTGGCTGGGATAGAATCCTAGGCCAGCCACGCTAGGCAGGCCATTAGCAGTTTTGAGTCAGCCAGGGCAGCTGACCTGAGTGAGCTACAGCTGTAGCCTGTACCATAATGTCATGGTCATTGTAAAGGGAGAAGGTTTGCTGAGGAAGGGGAGCTCCTGCTGGGGTTCCTCCTGCCCCTCTTCCCTTCTCCTGCCCCCAAGGAGTGTGAGGACCAGACATTCTAGGCTGAGTATAACTTTGTATACTTTATTTGTATTGCTCTTTTGTTAAACCTGTCCTTGCTTCAACCTTCAGATCTCCTTTCCTTTTCCTGTTTCCCCTTCTCAGCTGCGGAAGGGTCATTGTGCGATAGAACAACTGCTATAGTTTAGCCCCTGGTATGGGCTAAACATAGACAGCGTGCTTGGGTGGGCTGGAGGTGACAGGGAGGCGGGCAGTAATCTGTTATAATGTGCTGGATTCACGTGGCGCTGCTTTATTTTAGCTGGAGTTGACATTGCTGTAAGTGAAGCAACAGTGACTGAGGCTTGGGATTGCTTCCCTGCGAGTGGTGGCCCTAAGTGGAGCCCTGCTCCTGAACCCATGCAGCCCAAGGACAGCGTGGATCTCGAGCTGCCAAGACAAGGCAGCATTTTTCTGAGTCTACTACAGCTGACGTATCTTTTTGATAAACTTATATTGTTCATGTAGTTTGTTCTGAAGCCTTTGCACTGTGTAGAATATCTTGCTGCAGCGTAATGCTTCTTGTCCAAGTGTTTCAAAGTGCTTTACAGTCAGACCTCAAAATGTTTCTGGAAGATAAAATGTCCTGTAATTCTAGTTTTATAGAAAGGAAAGTGGAGCACAGAGTGGTTAAATTACTGCAGCAACTCAGCAGAAACTTGTAGCAGCAGAGGGGGTATGTTTCAGAACTGACGCCTCCCGTCTGTGTTCAATGGGAATACAACTTTGCAGTCCTAAAAATGAATTTTCTGGGCAATGCTCGGATCAGGCTCTCAGTATTGTTTTCTAAAAGAAATTCTGCAGCTGCAAAGTTTACCAGTCTTTGATATAGCGACATACCTGTAGGTCTGGCGCCTTCAAACTTAATGCAAAGCTTTGTTAGTGGAGCAATACTAAGCAATGGCAAAGATTAAATCCAGAGCAGAATGTTAAAAGGAAAGTAATTTCCTAATCAGAAAGTACGTTGCTGCTTACTGTCTTCAGAGATGGATTCCTACTATTACACTTACATGCAAATGTACATCTCTTGTACAAAGTCCTGGCATTTGCAGATAGTTCTGCCCTTAGGGTATCTTCCTAGTGTTATGAATGCACCATTATACCTCTTAGGCCTCCACTGATATATGGCAGGCTTTGGGCTAGAATTATCCTGCATGATTATCTGCCTGCTGCCAAAATAGAATTTCTATGGTATTGCGATAGTTTGGGTTGGTTATTTTTTTTCAATATTGCAATTTTTTTCTAGTCCTTGTATCAAGGTATGTTTCTTTCCAAAGTGAGATCAACTCTCAGCAAACTAATGGATGCAAAAGTACTTGTTATATAAAAAAAAATAAAATCAGGGTTTCATTTTTGATTAGTGTGATAGATCAGTAAAAGTCACATGCTGCCCTTTCTGAGAACACGCTAACCGATATTTTGCTGACACCAGCAGTAAAAGTCTCCCTGAGATGGCAAATAAATTGACAGTAGTCCCCAAGGTCACATGTTCCTGACAATGTTTAATCTTTTCTTTTTTTTTTTTTCTGCAAAGGGATATTTTCCGTTGTCACTGGAAGTGTTGCTTGTTGTTTTGCACAAAATGGTGGAAATCTGAACTGTAAGATCCCTATAGTAATTTTTTCTCACTATTTTTATTGTACCCTACTCTACTCTACCTGTTCAGTATTAGGATGAGTCTTCCAAGGTGTTGCAAGACTACAGGTAAGTAACGGAGACGGAGACTACCATAGCTACAGCTGTAATAAAGCTGGTAGGAATATATGGGAGAGAAGTCAGGCAGTAAGGTCCAGAGTGCAGGGAAGGGCCATAATCTGTGGCCAGAGCCTGGGCCGGGATGCATCAGGTAATTTTGTCTGTTCTGCTGGTTGCGGCAGGGTCATGGGGATAAGAAGCAGCGTGGTTAGAAATCTCTGAATGCACAAAATGCTGGCTTGGAAAAAAAAAAAAAAATCCAAAAATCTTGCTCCTGTCTCTGTTGTGGCTTTTATGCCCAATCTTGTATGTGTAGACCAGAGGGTGGCTGCACCGCCCTCTCCAGCACCCAGAAGCTGTTGACCTCCCACCTAGTCTGGGCTTTGGCAGGAATGTGAGTCTGCCCTCCCCTCCAACCCTCAGGTGAGAGGTGGCTGCTGAGTTTGCTTCATTTCTGCTGGGTTGGTAGGAGACTTAGGCAAACAGGCAGTGCCTGGAGCTCCTTTAAAAGAAAAAGAAGTTATTCTCTGTGTTCAACCCCTTATCTTCAGTCATTTGCCTTTTATTGCCTACCTTTATTTCCTATCAGCATTGATGCTGAATGCTAATTACTCTGGGTGAATATATTTCAAAGTTATCATAAATTTCACAGGCTTTATGTTTATTTTCCCTATCTATTGATTTCCTACAGACCCCTCTAACTCCCTGAGCTTTTCCTCCCAGTCTTTAGGATTAGGATGGCTGACAGGCCCTGGAGCCCAGAGATTTGTGTTTCTCTTATTTTTCTTTGATATAGACGGCTCCTGGGATCTGGGCAGTGTTAGACCGAGGTGTGTGAGAGCCTGCATGAGCAGCTCAGACCAAGGGGAGGCCTGATTTTTCATGCCTGCTCCCTCACCCAACCTCTGATTTGGTGACTCCAGGGACGTTGTTTTGGCAGGGTAAGGCTGGTCACTTTCTGTGGAGGTCAATGTTCCTCCCTTCCTCACCCAAGAATGCAGCAGCAGATGTTACTGGGGCAGTTTCCCCTGGTGATAGATGTCTGTGATCAAGGAAGCATTGATGTATGGTGGGTGATTTTCATCCTCTTGATAGCTGATGGGGAGGTGAGTAGGAGCAGCAGTAGGAGGTAAATCTCTTCAGCCTCCTTGAGAATTGCTGCTGTGCATGTGTAGGGACACCCAGGAGAGCAGTGCGCTGGGGTGCTGGGCAGTGGGACAACTGAAAAAATGCTACATAACTACTGCAGAATTGAAAAAGTACTTGGGAAAGAGGCCTGGGGTTTGGCAGAGCGTGTTAGGATAGGTAGGACAAGGAAATACTTGGTTTGTGAGAAAGAAGTCATTGCAGTCTTCATATGTCCTTTGGGTTGAGTGGATACTATCTGACAGTCACTGGTGTGTACCTGAAAGTCACTGTTAGAGGCAGGGGGACATGGAGTGTAAGGTCTGTGTTAGCAGATCGTGCCTTTCAGTAGGAGCAGACCTGTGAAGCCAGACAGTTCTGAGGCGCCAGTGTTTGCACTCCAGGCATCTGGGGGTGGTTTGTGGGCCAACAATGCCTTATCCTTATGCTGCCACATACACAATGACTTGAGGTGGTATTTATGAAGACGTTCAAATGCATGTGGGCACATACCTGTAACGTGGACAGGGTCAACATTTTTCAGTATCAGTCTGTCTAGCGGGATGGGCTGGTCTAGGACTATGCAAAACCCACCCTCTCTTATGAAGGACTGCAGCTCAGGAGTGAGGGAAGGACAGACAGGGATTAAGCTGGTGTCTGAGCCCCCGTATTTCTGTGAATAGAAAATGAAGTTGGTTAGCTGGTTGTCTGCCATCTGCTCATGAAGTATAGGCACTATAAACATCCCTAAATTATGTGTTTTCTTTTATCAAAAGTACTCAGACAGCTTATTTGCCTGAGGAACCTCAGAAGAACTCATTGGTACCTGGAGTTCTCCTGCAAGGTCACATCTTGTACTGAAAAACCACAATAGAAACACAGTAGAAGTCTACAGACAGAAAACAGTCTAAGGTGTTCAAAGGTCTTTTTTTCCTCTTTCCCCCTGTCCCTCCCCACTTCTTTTAATAGCAGGACTTTTTCTCCATTCCTTGGCAGTGCATTTCCGCATCTTCTCTTGCATACTTGCAGAACACACAATTGCTGGGGCTCCAGATGGGATGCATCCCCTCACAGAAGATTCACCAACACATGTATGTGGGGCAACTCCCAAAGAAACTTGCCTGTGGGCACCAGGCCCCTTGGATGCCTGCTCCCTTCATTCCCCCATGTGCTATGGGATGGTGCTACTGTCTCTCACTGCATGAGTTTTCTATCTCCTACAAAGGCAGAACAGGTGCTGCTTTAAAAAAAAAAAAACAACCAAGAAGTCTTTAAGTCAACCATGAACTTCTTGAGATTCAGCACAGGTCTGCTTAGCCTTAATTTATGTCATCTTCATGAACTGCATTAGCTAGATATACTCCTACACTGAAGCTTTAGAAATTTCAGATCATCCAGTGCTTTTTGTTTGATGGCTAAATACAGGTATTTATCATCTGTAGAACTCTCTCTAGCATCTTTCGTCAATAAAAGAATTCTTAAGAAGAGTTATTATGTCTTGATTTTAAACTAGGAGAAATCAAGGCAAAGAGGACACATACAACATGCTGTGCTCGAACTCAGAATAAAGCCAGCTTCCACCTATTTTAGCATTTCCCTGTTCTCTTTCTTTTTCAATCTTTTTTTTTTTGTTATTTCTTTAAGTTCTGTTTTCTCCAGCATAAACATTTATCGGATTGCTGGACTGAGTCATGAGAGGAGCGTTAGAAAGCTTCTTACATTCTTGAAACTTTTCTGAGCTTTAGGAATCCAGCACATCAGAACAACACCAGGAAAATATTAAAGGTTTTGTAATGTAAATTCTGCCTATCATAGTATTCCTGTAACATACTGAGCCTAGAAGCGGGGTTTTGAATCAGTGTTATGGTTGGCTATTTGCATAAGAAAGTATCATCCGTCCTTCACGCCAATTAGTCAGCTTGTATTTTTATCATTAGATCGGTCTTCCAAAGTGCATTCAAAATATTTACCAAGCTAAAAAACATAACAACTGCAACCAAGTATATCTCTGTCCATTCATACCTTTCTGTTACGTTTAATTTTGGTAATTAATAGGAAATCATTGAATAGGAAGAGGTAGACATCAAGGAGTCTTGTGCTTTCTGAGGAAGAAAACAAAAAAATCAGTTTGATGGTGTGATTATTTTAAGGAATTGCTATCGTAAGATGAGGCACATCTATGAATCACTGCACCTTACAGAGCATTTTTAACCAAGAAGCATGGTTTCTGACATAGCACACAACTACTCATCACCTAGTCTGCACTCTCAAATGCGATGCTTAAAAAAACCCCGATGTCTCTTGATGATTTTGGGTACTGATACTTGTACCTTGTAGCACCTACTTCATTATGAAAAAAACACTGTTTACCTGCCAGGAAAAGTGACCTGCATTACCTGGAGTTACCTACAAGTACAAAAACCTGGTAAACAGTGAACCTTCTGAAAATGGCAGACATAAAAGAAATAAGGAACTGCTGAGTTTTCCTGGTACCTTTAAATACTGGTATGCTGCCCTCTTCACCAGCTTTTGCAGCGATGAATTGTTAATTGATAACATCACAAAAGCCTTTCAAAAACCACAAAAAATAGTGTTGGCTTATCTTCTTCCTAGGTTAGAGGTCATGAGGATGTGAGGAATATAACAACAGATGTCTGTGAGAATGGTTCAAAGTCTTTCAGGTTGATCTCCAAGCCATGTTGAAAACTCAGGTACTTATTTATAATAAATAATAGGGAGCAATTTAACAAAGGCAAGAGTAATTTTTTAGCAGCTTCCTGCAGGAAACCTGGACTCTCTACTGGATTTGCAGAGTTTGGTCCTTTGGCCTCTTCCTTGTATATGGCTCCTTCTATCCCGTTCCGTGAATCTTTCTTTCATTTCCCTTTTTGCTCCCAATTTTCTGTCCTATTTCACTTCCAGTATCACCTTCATTCTCTGCTGCAGGCTTTACCCTTTATAATCTGTCCTCTGGCTACTCTGTACTAATAGGGCATCTCTGGACTTGAAAAATAGGCACAAAATGACCAGCTACTCTTCACAGAAAATGGGGTTGGTCAGAGCTATTACTTCCAGGCAATCTTGCAGGATCCTAAAATACTTTCTTGGGTGTTTGGTTCTGAGGGTTTGGCTTGAAAACTTCTTGGCTCATTAACATTACACAAAGCAACATCAGCAACTACTGAAAATTAAAATTTTAACTAGGTCATGGATCAGCCAGCTGCATGGAGAATAAAAAGCTATCATGAGGACCTTCTTATGTGCTACTTTCAGAAGACTACAAACAAGCAAGTTAATGTGTATTAGACCTCTTATAAAAACTACCCTTCTGTGAGTTTGTGAAGTCAAAAACTTCTTGAAGGGTTCTCCACAGCATCTGTTGTACAGCAGTGGGCCTCTGTGGGTGTTACACGGGAAAGAATTATTTGTTGTAAACTCTACTGCTGGGGAGAAACTTTTCTTCGATCTGTACTGTGTTCACAGAGTTGTTGAATGACGTCAGTTGGAAGGAACCTCTGGAGGTCTGTGGTCCAACCTGCTGCTCCAAGCAGGCCAAGCTAGAGTAGGTTGTTCAGTCAAGTTTTGAATACATACAAGAAAGGAGACTCTGCAACATCTCTAGTCCCCTGTACTAATATATGACCAGCCTGACTGTTAACAAATTTTCCCAGGTATCTGATGGGGGAATACCCCAGGCTGTGACTTACATTGTTATGTCTCATCCTTTCTCTGTGCAACTCCAAGATGACTTTAGCTCCATCTGCCATAAACCAGCCATCAGGCAGTTGAAGGCAACAGTAATGTCTTCCCTGAACCTTGTCTTCCTACATCTGAACAAGCCTGCTTCTCAGCTGCTCCTATTCTCGATTACAGGATTACAGAAAGTATGCAACTGTGGTCTCAGTGATCTCAGTTTCATTCAAATAAACACAGTTCACCTTACACCAATTTTGTGTCAATCTGTTCAGAGTGGTGACTTTAGGATATGTTGCTTTCTGTTGTTTGGCATTTACTTGACTTGTGATTTCATTTTTGTCTTGTAAGATATTTCATTCAGACAAGTGGCCAAATGCCAGGCACTTTTATATTGCAGATTGCAGGCAGCTGACTGTCTTGGTGAAGCAAGAGTTATGCTTATTTCTCTTTCTCCATTTTCTAATTACGTATTGCAGAAAGAAACATGGACGTTCGATGGCCACCCTTACATCCTACATTGTGGGCTGATATCTCAGTGAATGCAGAGGTAAGCATTGGCAGGAGAGAACTCAGTGGCTTGCTTTCTCCTCTGCCTGCCACCTCCTAAACATCAGCACCAAACTTTTCTTCTCCCCTCCGTGTCCCTGATGCTGTGCCTTCTCCTCTGCTACTATAATTCTCCTCACGTGGGAAGGAAAACAAAAACACTGAAAAATGGACTGTGTCCCTTTTGCTGCTCCCTTTATAACAGCAATAATGGTGATGGGAGGCAGAAAGAGTTGCATGCTGCTTCTCTTCACTTCTGCTCCTCAGGAGCTGGAGAAGGAAATGTAGGACATGGGCTGTGCTCATTTCTGTCGAACAGCTACAGCCCTCTAGCCACTGTGGCATGCAGCTTGCAGCATCCTTTCAGATGATGGTGTTCTCCAAACTGCCCAGGCTCTGCTTCCTGGTCATACAGGGAGGAAATCCTCTTCTCCTATGCAGGTGGAAATTCTGGAGCAGCTCCCAGCAAGCAACCTGTGCCTCGCTACAAAATGGTGCCTGTGTGTCTGGAGATATGAATCTCTGCTCTGCCAGAGTGATAGACAGCTGTGAGCAGCGTTGTAGAAATCAACATTGGATTGTTGCTGTGCTACCTGTGGAGTTAATGGCATTTGTATGAGTGCTCTGTTCATAAAAGGGAAGCCACCCAGCAGGATAACACCTTCATGTTCCAAGGTACCCATCAAAACAGCAGTCTTAGCAGAGATGAAGTATGAAATAAAAATAGGGAAGATCTCTGGAGTTTTCAGTAATTTTCAATGAACCACGTAGTGGATATGGTGCCAGAGAGGTGAGGTATGTTAACATCAGTTCTCCAGGCATGTGGGGCACCTTGTATAGGACAGTCTAAACTTCCTGTTTTCCTATTGCCGTGTTCTTGAACGTGACAGTAAAATGCTCCCTTTGAATAGCAGGCATTGTCCAGTCAAGCTGGTTTCTTCAGCACCTGACAGACTGAATATCTAGATGTGACAATAAACAATCATGCGGATTATTCATCCTTTTGGTCGTTTGGCTGTTTCTCAGTTTCTCTCTGACTTCTGCTGTTTCTTTCCCCCACCTGCCCAAATACTGTTGCAGAGGTTCATTCTGGACCTGCCATTACAAAATATGATTCTGTCAAGCTAACTCCTGATACCAGGACATTTAGGGACATTACCTGCTAGTGTTAGTCTCCCTTCATGAAGGAGAAGTCTGTTTGCTGAAGACAAAATGTTTTCACTGCTGTTTTCTCTTAAGCTTTGCTTCAAACACTTGACCCAAAAAAGAAAAAAAGAGAGAGAGAGAATAGGGAATCTTGCATATCTGATGATGAACTGGGAGGCAACCAGCAGTTAAACAAATGAACATGTGTGCTCTTATCTCAGGCTAAGTATATCACACAGCTAGTAACTGAGCATGACTGTGTTTCTTCAGCAGTGCTATTGCTTAAATGTGTTTACGCTTTTGAAATGTTAACCTGAATTTTTCTTTTCTGGAGCGAGTTTATTGGTTTTGCAGCCCTGCATGTGAACAGTCATAATCCTTATGATGAGAGCCACTTGATGATGTTGCCATAATGCTGTCTGTATGGGTAAGAGGGTAACCACAGTAGAAAGGTACACATGTTCTCAGTTATGCTGTGTAATTTTTTGTAATGCCTTTTAAATGTAAATAGAAATTTCTTCAGCTTAGCTTGAGGGGTGAAAAAGGCAAAAAAATTCTACTTTGTATCCTTATGAAAAGGTAGTAATACTTACATCTATCCCATTTCATTCTGCCCCCTAAAAGCAGACACTGGAGAGTCCTTCTGGAGCATATGATTGTACTCCCTTGGGTGCTAGCTGAGAGCAACCCATGCTGCCATCCAAGGCGCTGTGTACAGCCTGCCTGTCCAGTGCTTGCAGCAGTCAGGCTGCAGCTGCTCCTGTTAGAGCAGAGTGATCCCCAATAACTAGAACATAGACAACCAGCCAGCTTTAGACCGTGCTATAAAGATAGATAGGAAACTAAACCTTCCTCAGGGAAAAATGCCCTTTAAAAACTGCTTACCTCTGGGACAAAAAATCTCTTGTCACGATCCCAGACCTGAGGCCAAATTATGACCTCTTGCAGCTGCCTGAACTTCTGAAAGTTGTCCAACCACTTGACTTTACCTTCCAGATCCCCTGAAATATGTGAAACATTGGTTACTGCCAAGGCGGGCAAAACCAGTCCTGTTTCTACAAGATGCTGAATACTGATTTTCTCCAGTGGAAGCCAAAGCGCCTCAGATGTGAAGCCCCAGATGAAATCTTGGCCTCATTGTAAAAAATACCTAAACTCTTCTTAGGTCAGCGGAGCCAGAATTTCAAACCATGCATTCAAACATGCTTAAATTCACTGCCAACTGAAAAGGCTGTGTTTACTAATCTGACTGGGGAACAGGGGGAATCATATAAAACTCAATTAAACTGTAATCTTAAAAAGGTCTTTAAAAAAAATCCTGCCTTTCTAAACTGTCTGAGGTAGTGAGGGAAAAATAATTTTCGTTATGTACAGCCTGATCAAAAGACTATCGAAATTAATGAGAATTAATTTCAGGGAAGTGGTGCCAGAAGTGACTGAAGTATTTAACTGGGATGGGGGTGCCTCAGAATGTGAAGAATGGAGACTAATTCTGTGCTGATTCAGGGCCATTATGGGGAAAACTTTAATGGGCCTGCAATTTAAATTCCAAGGGTTTTTGTTGAGCGATATAGCAAACAATGGTTTCAGACACACACACATATATGCACCAGAAGGGGAATGCTGGGACTGCAACTTTTCCCTGTGTCACTGATTCACTAATCAAAAAATGAAGGCAGATTTTTGTCAAGTGTCTGTGAATGAAGAAGGTTCACCCCTCTGTCTTTGGTTTCCTCGTCCCAGAGGTATCCAAACTCTGGAACGATCTGTTTCTTTGCCAGTAATATTCCCCAGATATCCTATGTTCTTTTGGGATGATACCTAAAGCTGCTGTCCTCCCAGCAGAAGTCCCCAGGCTAGAGATAAAGCCATCTTATTTTCCTACGAGACCCATTCTGTGCTGAAAAGTGTGCTCCTTGTGTGGCCATTAGGCTAGGCTCCTCATAAGTAAGACTTGGTAAGAAGAGACAGAAGCCGTCTCTCTTTTAGGTGATAATTCTGCCATTGGAGTATTTACCCAAGAAGAAGGAGCCCCAGATTTATCTCTCTCTAGAAGATGTTAACTCTCTCTCTGCCTCATCTCCCAAGGAGATGTCTCAGCCTTCAGCCTCCAGGATGGTGAGAAGGATGGCGGCAGAAAGTGAGTCACCGTGCTGGGTAGCTCCAGGTCCTGGTGTGCTGCTGGTGAGGATGAAGCTCTGTCTGGCACCTCTCTGTGCCAAGACTGGCAGGGTAAGTGTTACGCTGATGCACTGTCTTTGATTTCAGTGGGGGCTACATGAGGCCCTTGGGGAATAAAGCTGTCTGCTGATGTACTATATGACCATAAGACAATTAGAGATGAACTTACTTACAGCTTCCTGAACAAGACTGAATTAATAAATTATTTAGAATTAATAAGTTATTTACTTAAAATGCAGGGAAAAAAATGTTCCTGGACCAACCCCTTCTTTTTCCACAATAGCTAGAGAAAGTCTGTAGCTGAAATAGCTCTTCAGCTACTTTACGTGGTAGGACCCTGTCATTTAGTGAAAGGTCACTGACATAATATTCCCCTTGTGAGTGCAATTTTATCCTATTAAGGATTAGCCCCAACAAATCCTCCCTAGACATAATTCCAACTCAAAGACTTCTTTGTTTGAGGTCTTTCTTGATTTGTTCCAGTTTGTGATCTGCTCTTAATTGTTTACATGTCACTGCAGATGATTCTGAGCAAATACAAGTGACTCACTGATATGGGAGTCCTGTGACCTTGCTCAGAGAGGCTTTGACAGCACAAGGGTGGCACCAATCATTTCCTACAGAATGAGGAAAGGTTCAGGATTGTAGAAAGGTGCAGGCATCTTCACTGCATCTCTGCGGGCAGACTGGACCAGTTCACACTCAAAGGACATGCATGAAAAGGCCACATAACTTGCTAATTGTTAATTGCACGCTTAACTTTTAACCTTACTTACGTATGGACTTTTCCACCTTCTCCTTAAGTGACTGGATAAAACCTTTCTCTGTTTCATCAGTGCTCCTCTTCCAGATGTTGTTAAGGAGGAGGGGATAGCGTGTTAGGCGATGCAAAGGAGCAACCAGAAGCTCCGGTAGATGTAGCCTCTTGCACTCTTTGTTTTGTTCACACCACTGCTGAAGACAAGGAAAACCTGCCTTAGGCCTCAGCTTGCTCCCTGGCAGTCAGCTGACTGTAAGCAGACAGGGACTAATTAAAGATGAATTTCTCACGCAGTGAGAGTAAGGGTCGTGTAAAGGCTTTCTACAGGGGGAATTGCATGGCTCCTCCAGATTCACTTTCTGCATTGCTGCTTCCCATTTCAGATGCTGTGGCCATGCTAGCAGATCAAGTAGTGCTCTTGTTTATGTGTCATTTTAATTTTACCAGGAAAACCTCAGTTACATTTGAGGGCCACCTTACGTTTTAGGGTCACCTGCTGCTTCCCACTGGGGAATGTTTTCCTAGGCATGAGTGTATGAAATCCTTGTCAGGGAGCAACTGATGTGAAACTCCCAGGCCCTAAAAGCTGTAGAGTTTAGCTGCTACAAAGAGGTGTCCTCCTAGTTTTGGGCTGCCTGTGAGGAAAGCACACTTCTTCAGGCTTCTCTTTCTATGCCTGTAATACTGAAGATCAACCTGAAATATTTACAGGACACACACTGGTCTGCTAATGATAGAGCAGATAGAGCAGAGCCCTCTCCCCGAGAGCCCCACTGCTGTACTGGCTGGAGCTGTCAGATGCGGTGTCAGCAAAGACAGAACCTGCTCTAGTGCTGTAACTTTACAGAGACATCACTGATAGCTCTTTCAAACTTTAGAGGGAGGTAAAGGCTCACTTACTGGTAGTGTTTTGATACCAAGTTATACATTTGCTTGATTTATGGTTAAGCAAAATCTGTCAGAAGAGTTAAGTTGCAGAGGGGTTGCTTACTGTTCTATCCAGGGTGTTCCTCCCTGTAGGTACATGGGTCAGTGAATACACATGAGCAAGGAAAGCATCCTGTCTTTCTTGCCAGGGCTTAGGCAAAACCCACCTTTCTCTCTCATCGTGGGCTCCCAAGACTCACGAAAGTACTGACATGCTCCTGGATTTCTATTCCCCTTGTTTTGTCTTGTATCATATACCTGTTTCCTTAAGCAGAAGGAAGCCATCATACGCTTCTCCAGTTTTGAGGTGTGCGTATGTCACTGCTGATGTGGCATAGCATAGAAGCTGGGGACTGTTTTGTACAATGAAACACTTGAGAGAGATTTTACAATGTGGCTTGATTTTTGGTTGGTTGTGGTGTGGGTTTTTTTTTCCTGTGTTTTTTTTCTGTAACCACTTCACTTTGTTAAGGTGGAGGTTACCAAGTCAAGAGATCATGAAACCTCTGGATGACAGAGGCTGGCAGTACATATTTTCTGCCTGCAAAAATGCAGCCAGTTGTTCCCTTTTGGCTTCGCCTCTTGCCTGTTCTAAAGTGCAAGTATGGACTTTCACACATGCAAGGGAACATACACTCAGAAGGGTGACTTCACATCTATGATACCCTCTGCAGTTCAAAAAAAATCTGTGTAAAATGCTTCCTACACAGTTTCGCTTTCAATGAACTTTTTTTTTCTAGTGTGCTGTTAAAATCCTGTCATAAGGCAGGAAGGCTGAAAACAACAACAACAACAAAACCATCACTTTACTTTCAGGTAGATGCCAAAATCTTCTCTCTGTCTCAGGTTTTCCAAGTAGAATACAGCAGAGGTATAATTAAGGCAATAAATCTGGTGTGTCTGGCAGAGGTCACCCTGGAAAAACTGCAGAAAAGACTTGGAAACTTATCAAGGAAGAAAAATGTCATGACAAAAGGAGGAACAACAGTTTTTGTTTTGTAATAGTTAAATAAATTTTACCTGAGATTTCCTCATACCTAGGAAAACAGGGGAAGAGGGAAAGGAGGATTTTAAAAAAAACTAAAGGGCAAGTTAAGAAGTGGCAAAGTAGTAAAAAAATCACAACAGTGCTCAAGCAATGCATGGGAGCACAGTTCTAACAGCTCTGCAGAGCTGTGAAGCATTCTTAGACCTTATTCTCATTAGACATAAATGATGTGCAATTCATGTAGAAACTGAAGATAAAAAACACCATCTATGCAACAGATTTACATGGCCTCATACAGGATGTCACTTTGTGTCCAAGTGTGTTAGCTGGCTCTTAGAAATGTTGAATGCCATCTGTGATAAAACACAGTTTTGTCTGGTATTTTGTCTGTCTCACACAAACATTAGCAATAAGAACGCCCGAAGTCAGAGGTAACGGGGGTGAGAAACCAAGCTCTAGCCTCCCTTTCCTTTTTAAAAATCCTGTCCCTGAGGTAGGGTCTGGTTTAGCATTTTCCCAGAAGTTTTCTAATGCCTCTACTGCTAGGGAAAGTTCAGGTCCATGCATTGATTATCTGTCTGTGTTAATATTTCCAGCTTCTCAGTCTTTGGGATGTTGTGCAGGAAATAGAGCCCCTGGAGGCTGCTGTTTGGACAACTGCCTTGTTTACCATGCAGACTGCCCAAAAGGGTTGCAGGGCAGTGCTTGGCAGTGGCAGGACAGTTGCGCCTGTGTCTCTCTTTTGCTTAGGAGACACAGGCTAAAGTGCAAGAGGTATTTGAGTCCCATTGAGCTCTTAATTAAGCACTTTAGTATGCTTGTGAGTCTGGTCCATGGAGTAAAGGAAGGCTCTGTGTGATGGACCAGAAGGTGCCCGGGAACATCCAGTGATGGGGCTGGGGTCTGGTCTGAGGGAAACATCTTCCATATAGCCAGAACCTTGCCTCTGCCAGTGGCAAAGTCTCCTCAAGGTCTGGGCTACTGTTCCCCAGGAAGGGAAAATCTTTCCATGCTTTGTTCCCCATACGGAGCAGCTTTCCACGACCACCTCAAACATGCCAATGAATAAAAAGAAAAACATCCTACTAACAGGAGGTGCCTGAGGCTGAGACCAAACTGCCTGTGGCAGATGGTATGTCCTTGACTGACTCGATTGCTCTAAAGCACCTGCATGCTATGATAAATGGTCTGCTGCAAGGACCTGCTGATATTAAGCAAAATACTTCTAGTTATGTTACCTTTCTGAGCATGGAGCTGAAATCCATAGAAGAGTCTGACTTGCATACGTGGTCCCTCACGGTTTCAAAAAAAGTTTTCAGAAAGCTGAGGCTTATCTAAGTAAAGGGGAAAAAAAAGAGAAACTAGCATGAGTGATCTTCTGAAGTTAAGTTAAAACAACTTTATTTCCCATCCCTTGTCTCTTCGAAGGCTCCAAGCCTAATGGGGTGCCTATACTTTTATCCCTGACACTGCCAGAATTAACTTCAGAAATACTCCTGGAATGCTTTAATTAGCCTGAAGCTAAGACAAATCTATACAAATACCTACTTACACTGTGGTAAAGCCATATGACAAAAGTTTTGACACAAGATTAGTTATTCCATTTAAACTTATTTTAGGGTAGCAGCTGTATTTAACATGAATTGTCATGGAAAATTACAATAGATTAATGGTATCTACTGGAAAACACTGACTGTATGACAGAGCTGTGACAATTAAGGAAGTCTTCATGGCTGTTTGAAGAAGATACCCCTTTCATAGTTTGAGTTTGTTTCATGCTATTGGAGATGACAGAAATTTCTATATAATGCCATAAAAAGTCACGTATTCACCATAAGTTAACTTTATATGTTTGCACTGGATTCAAGGGTGCCCACACTGTCAGTCAGATGTGCCTGTGTCAGCAGAAAGCCTGCTCCTGAGCCCACGCTTGCCTCCTGAACACATTATTTGCACACTAATTCATGACCAGGCTCAGCATTAGGCCAAATTTTAGGCCAGAAGGGAACATCATCCTCTGTGATACTGCTATGAACTGCTGTTGTAGCTGCACACACTGCTATATGTGGTGTATTTATAGGGGCAGCGTTGATTATAGGATGATGCTTATTCTTTCATTTTGACAACAGTATATTTAACACCCTTTACAGCATGCATTTTTTTTTATGGATTCAGCTTGCTGTCAAGAAGAAATGCGTGCTATAAAATGCATGAAAAAAGGCATAAAAGGCATTGAGAGCAGCTATTTTCTCCTACGTTTGATCACTATTTTATATAGAATTGTGCATAATAGATGATCATTTATCATCCTCATTCGTAAAGACAGCAAAGTTAGAAAACAAAATAGAAAAATCCGTTAAAGAAAGATAGTTCACTCAAGCTGTGACCAAGCTCCAGCCAATCTCAAACCTTTTGTGATCGCTAAATGGCACACAGCAATATACCCCACTCCCTTCTTTGAACAAGAACAAAGGAATCGGCAGCCACATATCAACTGAACTCTAGTACCTGGCTGCATGTGTGACCTTAGCCCACAGTAAGTGCAAGGCGACATACATAACTAAAAATTTCTTTCCTTGTATCTCCAAACCTGCTCAGGTGGTCACTCACAGCAGCTCAACTGGTGTGCGGTCAGTCACTGAGCAGAGGTCACTTGCTCGTGTGTTTGAGCTCTGGCTAATTGTGCCTACTCTGAACAGCTTTCCCGCTTTTCTTGTTTTGGCTAAAAAGGGAGATGTTAACTGTTAAGGTAGGTGAATTACAATGTGGGAAAGAACTTGAAGTAAGCAACCAGTTTAGGGCATGTGATGTGATTGTGAGCAGTCATTCAACTTTGTGTAGCTGAAAAGCCCCTTTCAAAATTCACTTCTCTATTAAGGGTGAGGTGTCCTGTAAAAGAGCTCTCAAGCTAAGAAAAACTGTTTTGCTTCTAAAGTTGTGTAAAAGCTGTTTTGGACTTATGGGTTCCTTTAACTTTCAGGAGCTGAAAATGATCTCCCAGCAACTGGCCACAAGCGGCAAAGAGCTGGAGAGCATCACAGCCAAGCCTTGTGGTCTCCCTCCTCCTGGAAGCTGGAGGGTAAGTAGCACACGAACACAGAGCATCCAGTCTATGTGGGAGATACCCTTCCACTTACACGGGGGAAACCCCAGCTGGAGAGGGGTGGTCATTGTTTTATTCTAACTTGCTCTACTGGAGTGGCATAATAGATAGCAAAGGCTTTGTGCCCATCTGTTTGTGAAAGGAAACTTGTTATTGTAGTTATTTTGCCGTTCTTACTGTTTTGCTGTGAGGATTGTGCAGTCAGGGTTTATCTCCACACATCCTTTTAAAAGGATGCTGCTTAAAACAATTAGTCTCAAACTTGTGTTTGCTTCAGAAACAACTGCCAAACGAGTTCTCCTCCACTTTCAAATACCTGTTTATGTTTTGCTGGAAGCACATGAGAATAACTTGCACTGGTGAAATTCAACCCCCACCGATATACCAAATAGAAATGAAGGAAAGACTAGTTATTTGAACTAAGTTCCAAATATGAGCACTGAATCTGAACAGAAGCTTTGTGGATGGTTTCTTGCCTCCTTTTATTGGACTTGTTGATTTCTGATCTCATTAAGACTTTTATTTTTTTTACTCACCTTGTTTAACTCCTCTAAGTTTGCGAAAAGTCTCCACAAATCCACATCCAGAAGAAATTCATTACTCTGGAGGTATTTTAGAGTGTTCATAAATATCTTTAAAAACAAACCAGAACAAATCCATGTTATTTACTATTTGTGCCAATTCAATATATATCTCTTTTTTTTTTTTTTTTTTTTTTTTTTTTTCCCCTGAAAAGAGCATGTTTGCACTGTAATTCTTATGAAATGATCATTTGATTTGGGGAGGGCAGAAGACAACACTAACAAACTTTTCCTGACCTGCTTGAAGGCTAAATATTGGGCTTTGTGTAAGCAGGAGGGTATGAGTGATGTCTCTGGGGTGTCTCTGTGACTGCCACAGAGGCAGCTATATCCTTGCTGTGCTCTCTGACAGAAGAGGGGCAACTGAGCCCCCTACAGATTCGTGTAAAGGAATTAATAGCATCAGAGCCATACTTACAGATTTCTATGACCTTTCTAAATGCTTTCCTTCCTACCCCACGCATCTGCTGCTATATAAGCTGTTTAGAGTTACTATGGAAAAAAAAAAAATTGTTGTAATAGTATAAGTAGAGGGCTCATGAAGTTTTTTAATATCTTTGGATTGTTTTATTACCCTGTATTAAGTGAAAACTGCATGTATATTTATTGGCTGTTTAAGATTTTATATTATCTAAGCTCTGATGGTAATCTTGGAACTGTGCTGAATCTGACCTAAACCTGAAAAAGTTTTAAAAAATGTAGATTACTGAGTGCCAATTTTTGTATGTGTGTGAAAAGCATTAATGAAAAAAGTCCATCAGTCAGGTGCCAGGACTGAAGAGCTAGTGAAAGAGTTTGCTTAGCCTTGTGTAATTCTTCAGTTGCCACGAACAGTTGACCTGAGAGCTTAAAGGGCATTTAAGATGGTCCTAAAGTTCCTTGTGGAGATTCATTAGGATCAGTGGAATATTTCTATACTGGGAAGTACTTAGAGTGGCAGGTATCAGTACAACTGGCTACCCAAATTCAATGGGTTCTTTCTTTGGCAGGAGAGTTTGGGAAGCTGGCATGGACTGAATAGTTTGTCGTTCATGGATCATGCAGGGCTGGCTAAGGCTTGTCTGTGGGTTCCTACAGCAGATTCACCAAGGGGCCTGCACACCTCCTGTTATCCTCATCCTTCCCAGGATTCACCTGTTGTTAGACTTCTCAGATCCCTGAACAAAGTGTGCAGAAGGAAGGACGCTTCCACCCTGCCTTAGACCAAGAGCTGGTCCCGTTGTCCCCTTTCATCTTGTTTCCTGTTCTGTCCCACCAAGGAGGAATTCAGCCCACTCCTCTATTTATTCCCTTTACTTTGCAGTACTTCTGGTACTAATTTTTTGGAAACATGGAAAATGTTTCACTAATCTTTTTCCTTTGACTAATAAGAAATCAGAAATGTGCAGAATAGGAGAAAAATGATAGGAAGACATTTAGGGAAGCTTCCATCCATTACATGGGTACACTAACTTTTGATGTGTGATGAATGTAAATAGTGCAGCAATTCTTGTAGCAGCGTGTAATATTCTTGTCCATATTTCAAAGCTCTTAAAACTCACCATGATGGAGGCAATTTGGAGTTTTGGGGAGAGGAGCTGTTTTTTGGTTTACTTGTTTTCTTTAATATTAGAACTACAGGTCTACTGAATTCTGAGGTTTTCATGCTTGAGTCAGGATAATCTAGCTACAGCTCTATATGAAGTTGAATGAAGAGTATAATGTTACAGACTAGAGGTAGAGAAATATCCAGTATAGTCAACTGGAGAGTGGCTTCAGTTCAGTGTTAGTGAGAAGAGTAGTGGAATATCAGCTGAAATTACTGGAAGGATCTGCAATCAGATGGTGTTTGCAAAGCACTAGAAAGTGATGAAGTGAAAGAAGAGATGCCGTCAAGAAGATAAAAACCAACTCAACTGTAGAAATGAGATGGGCAGGCAAGATGGGAATAAACCAAATGCTTAAGTCATCCCCACATAGACACCCAATGAAAGGCTACAGGTGGCTTTATGTCTGCCACACTGAAAGCAGGGCAAATAATGTTTCATTATTTTTGAGAAATGAAATCTGAAGTTACCATCTTGAGAACGAGCAAATGATCCAGAAAGTAAGTACATTCACTTGTGAAAAGTTCCCACACTGCTGCTTCTTTTTTCACTTCTAACCGGTTGTTGACATCTTTCTGCTCAGTCTGTTGCGCCTTTATAAATTCATGCCAAGATTTACTCTATCGATTGAAGAAGAAAGAAAACCACCGACTGTTGCATCAACTGCTTCAGACCTTGTGGAAAGAATCTATGATCTATTTGCCCATGTAAAGAGCTTGACTGCCAGTATTAGTGATTATTCTTCTGAAAGCTTAAAGATTCAGCTAAAAAGATTAAAAACCCTGACATTTTCCTCCAAAATATTTATAACATAAACACACTGAATTTGAAAGTAACACAGTATGTTAGTCTATGTTTGTAGGTTGCTGTATCAAAAAACTGTGGGCAGCTTGCAAGTGCTAAAGAATTTAATCTGTTGTGCTGCTGCTGGAAAGCAGGGATGGATGATAGCTTCCTTTGTTCCAGATGGTAAAATCAATGTACCAAAGGTCTAAGTCTTCACAGGTGCTTGGATAATGGTTTCTTTAGTTCTAAGGTGGCCACTATCACCTTATTGACCTGCTTCAGGCACTGATAGGAGTCCTCAACAACCAAGTCCATGGGGAGATGCATATAACAGCCTGTTGTGAGAAGCGAAAGGTTTGCTTTAGAGGGGGGATAGTGTTAGGTGTGGGTTATCTGAATATCACCCTGGTAGCCCAAGCTTTATGTTTCTATGGGTCCCTGGAGGCCAGGAGCCTTGTTTAACTGGCAGACAGGCTTTGGTGGGATTTCAGCAGCTGAACCTTGGTGTTGGCACTGACCTCTACGTGGCCACCACTGAACGCACCCCTAAGGCAGCAGTGGGGGTGACCGTGCCCTGTTTGGCATCTCTGTGATGCTGCAATTTCTTTCTCCAGATCTGCAGGCACTGCTGAGAGGATTGCCTTGATGCCTGTTTCTAAAGGTGGTACCTCTCTGATCTAGGCTAGTCTAGAAGCCTGACAAAGTGGAGGTAATTGTGAGGGCCCTTGCTGACCTTCTACGGCACCCACAGTTTCCCCCTCACCCCTCCGTTTCAAAACCCAAAAATATACCTTGTGCTTATGCATTAATTTTGCAGAAGGGCCTCCTATCCAGATTAATGTGGTAAAAAACGGCAGCTTGAAAAGAACACAAAATTTTTATCCCCATCCTTAAGTATCATTGCTACAGTATACTGAGTGTTTTGATACCTTAAAGCAGAAAAATTCGTATGTGCTGCAGTCTATTATCTTAACAGTTGAAAGACAGTTTTCCAGATCAGATGCTTGCTTCTGTTTGTCTTTACCCTGTTGAATGACAAAAAAATCATACTGATTAATGCAATGTTTTAAAGACCATTCAGAAGTTTACCCAGCTCAGTAACCTTGCTCTGATCTGTAAGGAGCTTGCCCTTAACTGAGTAATTTCCTTATATATCCAGGCTCTCCTACACAGAGATGAGGCAGTGATGGTAGTTTTATTTGTAGGTATGGGTGGGGCGTGTATGTGGCTTAGGTGTGGGTGTGTAAGATCTTTTTTATGTAACACAGCAGTCTATGGCACAGCAAATCATTGGTATGGCAACAGACAATGGGTTACCCTTGGAAGACAGAACAAATAAAATATTTTGCTTCCTTCAGCACTGTCAGAAGTAGAGGACAGCAAACTCATAGTTGAAATCACCCTCCTGCCATACATATACAAAGCTTGCGTGATTGTTTATTTATTTATTAGAAAATTTTCATTTGAGCTACATGTTGAAAAAGCTGCTTTGGTCAGCTGCAGAGTAGTGTCTATAAAACGAGCTTTTAGAAAGCCTAAAGAGCAGGAAGAGTTTGTCTGTGTGAGGGATCATGAAATAAAACCAATTCCTTTTGGTTTGGCTTTGGTTTTCAGGCTGACAGTGCCACGTAAGAAGTTTAACCAATATTTATGAACTCTAATTTAGTGCTGTGAGCATAGACTTATAAGGTGCTTGCCTAAACTTTATCTGCTCTCTGGAACAGTATACTCATACTTCATGGATTTCTATTGTCTACATTTTAGGCATCGAGCTCAAGCCAATTTTGAAATATGTGTTTGATTATAATATTTAAAATCCAGAGTTTAAGATCAACTCTTAATTTTGAAAGACAGCTTGAAATTGAGCAGAAACAATAATGCAATTATATATACACACACTTAACCAATGCACCAGCAGATGAATCTTCATGGATTAAATCTTATGACATTTGATAGTCTCAGAAATCACTTTTTGATAAATATCAAATGGATTTTATTGCAAATTTCATGTATTTTGATGAATTTAAAAATTCTTTGTTTTAGACAATGCTCCTTCAAACGCTATAGAAATGCTATCAAATGAAATATGAACTCTTGCACACGCTAATCTGAGTACTTGCATTGATTTCACCTGCACAAACTCTTCTTTGATAGTTGAGATTTAGAAGATAAAATGCAAAAAATATTAGGAAAGGAGTGTTCACAATCATATGTTTAGGGGTGCACAGTTATCAAGACACTTTTAGATGCTTTCTGAATGATAAACAACCCTCAGAAAATTCAGATACCATAGTAAGTGAAAATTTTCATAACTGGAAAAGACAAGGGAATGTGTTAGACAAGGAAATTAACTGAAGTGTGTTGGTGTGTATGCTTTTACTGGCAAGTGTGAGTGCCCATGAGAACAGGAAAGGCCTAAGAAAGCATCTAAAATGCTACTTTGATAGGTAAAGCCTAGATTCCTTCCATGTGAGTAGGAGTTAGGCAGATACTCCAGGGCACTAAGGTCTAGGTTGGCATGCAGAAAATACAGGATACACTGTGGTCAAAGCAACGATGTGATTGACTTACCCACCTTGTGCTCTCTTTCCCTGGGAGGCTGCATTGGGCTCGCTGCCACCGCTGAACACCTTAAATGAGAGCTCCTGTGCTGCCCACCCCGCTCTGCCCTCCTGGTGCCAAGGGCACCTCTCCTCCCACCACCCATGGGGATGGGGGGCAGCAGTGCTGACTGTGTTTTCATGTGCATCACTTGCAGCAGCACTGGTGGCTGCACTGGAGCCACCCTACCTTTCATTGCAGATTAATGTTCAAGCAGTCCCAGGGTAGGCTGAGGCCTCTGAGTTCAGCTCAGCTGCTAGCTGCCTTTCTCCAAGGGCAGTAAAGTAAAGAAACTCTTTATACCCAGGTTAGTTTGGGAGAAGGCAAGGTCAGTGCAAGGAAAAAAACATGGTGAAATACTCACAACTCCTCTTCTGGTAAAAGGCCACCTCGGCTTTTTGGACTCTAATGTGTAAAACAAATGTGTTATCAGTAAAGAAACAAATAGCTAAAACCAAAACTGTTATTTGTATGGGTTTTAATTTTTTTTTTAAATTTATTTTTTTAGATGAAGCCTGATACTCTATTGGCTCAGATTTAGTACTTGTGTTTAGGCAGTTTGTGCACCAGACTTAAAACCCATTAAGCCTGTTGGGTTTCTCCCAGCAAGAAATATGTCTATCTGTGATGGGATCTTGGATGATGCTAAACACTCCCACTTGCTGCAGATGATCAGTATGTGATTGCCAGTTCTTCACATAGGAAAACACATCATACCTCAAGCCAATTCTGGAAGATATTCATTGTTTTGAAGCAAGAATTAGGCTATGTCTGCTCATTAGTGATATCTTGGAGCTATGAAGATATTTAAAACTCCTGTGAATAAACAATCCTACAAACCCTAAGCCTTAGATCTGTCATGGGGCTGCCACAGTGGTGTAGGCTGTAATTCATGGTCCTTAGTGAGGCACAGGGAAGGCTGGGGATCTAGATGTAGGAATGCACCGGCGAGAGGTGAGGAATTTCCTGGGTTATTCAGCAAGAAATTTGAATGACTTTTCTATATGTGGCACCTCTCTTCAGGCCTGTGTATGACTGGGAATCACAGTTGAAACTTTCTCCTTTTAGATTTTGAAGGCCTTGGTCATTCTTTCTGGGGGTGACTGGCTTGTTTGCTTTCATGAAACTGCTGGTTGTGACCTTGACTTACTTATTTTTTGAGAAAATTTTGATCTCTGGTCACCAGCATCTTCTGATCTCTGGCTATCACACTATACTATATTTCACAATAGATATTTGTCGAAATTGCTTGCAGGTCTACATTTCAGTTTCAGACTTATGAGCAACCTTGAGCGATGAGCTGGGTCTGCTACCCTCCTGACTGGAGCACTACTGGAAAGGGTGGCAGGGGCCACTCTCTTCCCTCTGCTTGAAGCTGTGCAGGCAGGAATTTGCAACTCAACTGCTTGCAGATGGACATCCTGGGCTCTGGTTGCTCCTAGCCTGTGGAGGAGGGAGGTGATCCATGTCCTGCCCCCCTGAACTACCTCTTACATTTTGCATTCAGCAATAAAATGCAAGCAAAAAAATAAATGGAGAGGAATTTTAAAACTAGCAATGCAGTCACTTTGGTGTGGGGTAACAGCATCCCGCATGGAGATTGTGCTGCCTCGTGTGTTGTTGCACCGATCCTCCCTCCCCATCCCACACGCACGCGTGTTTTAGTCATGGCTTTTGCTGGGCTGAGACGAGCAAACCCCATCCTGTGTCTGACCTGCGCTTAGCAGTAGGGCCCTGTGGAGCAGGTAGTCCATGGCACTGTCTGACACCAGGAGGTCTCCAGGGAACACATCGAGTCCCGGCAGACTCACTACCACGGAGCTACGCCTGCGCTCGGCTGATCTGTGAGATGCAACAACAACACACGTCATCTGTCTCCACTTGTGGCTGCAGAGCAAATTTCTGAAGTACTCCTAGCTGATACAGGAGGAAATGAGCTAAAAACCAAATCACAGCGGATATGACATAATATGTTAAAGGAACAATGAGTATAAAATTTCAGTGATCGACAGCAAATATCTACTCCTCATTTCAAACTCTTCATTGTTACTGAGATCAAGGTGCTTATGGCCACGGCTTGCCTCAGATAATAAGTACTTAGAGAATACAAATATCGAAAATTCCTGGATTCTTCTGGGATTTGGCAAAAAAGGAGTGGAGATTTCAGAATCTATGTTTTGGCACTGGAGTAAAAAGGAGCAGTTAAATACCATGTCCCTAGCTGATATATGGGTTGTCATTACTTTTGACCTTCATAGAACTCATGTGATTTCAAGAAAAGACAGCATACTAGTGAAACAGTTAAAATGTTGTTGGGTTGTTGGTTGGGTTTTTTTTGGTATTTAACCTTTTGGCTATTTTGTGTTACTTTCTTCCTAAAGCTTTTTGGCATTTTTTTCTGCTAATTCAAATATTTTGTATTTTGAACATAATATGACTTTGTGGCCTGCCGGTTGAAAAAAAATGCCCCTTTCCAACTATTGTTGTTACTAACGGAGGGCATTGTCCAGGACGTAGATCCATCAAGTGAAGTGACACAGGCATTCTTTATCCAACAGTGTGTTTGTGCCAGAGGCTGCTTGCATTCAAGTACAGAATCTGTCAGTGCACATCAAAAACCTTTTTGGATTTTGCTAATAACTCATACTGCTACTTAATCAATTGTGTTAGTATACTGTTGCAAAGTGACTGGTGTCTACTGCTGTTGTGCTGTCTTCGGTTGACTGATGTATGAAGACTGCATTATTGTTCAGAGGGTCAGTAATCAAGTAGCTGAGGGAGAAGGCATGAAGTGTGTGTGTGTGTACATATATAAAAATTCTCTTTTTCAGTCACCATTTATCACGCATGATATTTTTTTGTCGGTAAAGTATAATTCTTATTGCTTTTTTTGCCTAGGCACATACCTTACTATGAATATCTAGCCATCTGCCAACACTTGATGTGAAACCTGGCAGCTATATTTTTCCCTTTAAGTGCATGAATAGTCACTTGACAACATATCAACTGGCAGATGAGCTCTGAGGTAGAGAACTGGGATTTGATATGTATAGCAAGCCACGGAGATCATGCTTTTTCTTATAATCTGATGGTTACATTGCTTGCAGTTGCCTTAACTAAACCAATTGAATTGTATAGATGAAAGACTGCTTCTAACAACAGAGGGCTGTAGGTTATCAGGAGGGCCAGGTCTGGAACTTTAACACTTGAAACTTGGCATATGAGGGCTTGAAAACTATGTGTTGAGGAGTTTACAATGTGCAATGTAACGTAAGAGTTCTCTAAAAGCTTTTCCTTTCCTGGTGGTCCTACTGAGTGGGAAACATAGGATCTGTTTATTTAACTTTAGGGATTTACAGTGAAACTCTGAGGTTTCTCATGAAATTGAACCTAACATGTGGTTTGAGAGCTTTTATGGATGGGGTCTGTTTCTTGGTTGTCTGCAAGCCCATACCAGTGCAAGGGAAACCGCTTCCTGACAAGGTGTGCCGAGTGCTACCCAGTGCAAATTTTAAGTGTTTGTAACAATTGTATTAAGATGCTTCTGAAACCTCTAGTGATTCCACAATGCAATCTCTTGGGCAGCTAGTTTGTTTTATAAGCCAGATGCTGCAATATAATACAAGGATAATTCTTAAAGTTGTCACTCCTGTACTAGGGAATTCAGGAGATTTAATTTGGGTTGGATTCACAGTAAAATGTTGCCAATGTATTACTGATTTTCGAAGGATCTAGCCTACTTCAATTTCAGAACATATTTGAAGGAGGCCAGTGGCTTGTGAAGATTAGTAATGGGAAGCATAGTTTCATTGCAACTGAGCTAAATGGTGTTATTTCCCTGGATCAAAAAGGCCTTGAACTTCAGACACACATATGTCTAAACAAGCTCTTCACATAGGTATGCAAGGCTGTGATGTGTGGGAGCATGCCAAGGTCACTTGGATGTGTATCTACAATATACCTTTGCAATCTGACATGCCTGGGCTGATTAATGACTTTCATGCCTAAATTAGGTACTTGTGCTTCACAGATAAAGGTACGGGTGTCTGTGATCACCTGACATGATGCCTGTAGACATATTAGATACATTAGATGCTTTTGGTGGTTTTACTGGAGAAATTAAACTACTAAAGTGCTGTGTAATGCAATTTACCAGTTTTTGAATCTGTATGCAATATTTTAGCATCTTTTCATGCCTGCAGAGCCTGTAGTTTTGCCTTTAGTTTGTTTTTGTTTTTTCTTACTAGGGACAAAGGACTGAAGTGTTTGAGTGAAAGAAATGTTCATACTTTAGGGATGAACTCAAGCACCCGAGGCGATATCGTCTGCAATAATTCCTCCTTTAAATCTACTTGCTTTGTGAAACAAGATAATGTCACAGGTTTGCATTAAAGTTATGGAAAATTATTAAAGACATTGAAGTAGCTCATGGTCTGCAAAAAAGAAATATTCTGTGTATATAATTGTTTCTAGGGCATGGAGAGTTTCAGCTGATTACTTTTTAGAGGTCTATATCATTATATGTCCATAGTCTTAGCCTGGCGAGCTGTTCTAGAGAACAGACATCTATATAAATTACCTTACTTAAATAACAGATAAGCTGTTTAAAGGAATACCCACGAGAAGAGAATAAAAGCAACTGAAGAGCTTACAGAGGTTGACATTATAGGGTGGTCACAGTACTGGGATAGCTGTCAGGTGATGACACTGTTACCCAAGCCACTCAGGGTGGATATTTGGACTCCCTAATTCAAAGAGTTAAGAAGACACTTCAAGGGCATGTGAGACATTAAAAGAGGAAGAGGAGCACTTTGAGATACATGAGCCCAGCTCCCTCAATTCATTGAAAGTGAGCTGCCTGGGCAGTTACTGAGAAGACTCTTAATTAGCTGGTTGTCTTTATGAAATCCGGTTTTCCACCCAGTCTGATATGCCAAATGGTGCAAGGAGAAAATGATCTCAGAGTAAACTAAAGGTTTTGTTTTATCAACATTTCCTTCCATGGCAGTGATGGCTTTAGCATCTCACCTTGTCTCCACCACATACACCTCTCTCTGTGCTGCCCCTTTTGTCCTTTTTGTTTATTTATTTTGGCTGATTATTTTTAATCAGTATCAGTTCAGCATGTTGCCATGCCGACAGAGAGGTACTGGCATTCTTGACTGAGGGCTGTACGGGGGAAGGCTGTTTAAAATGAGCATTGCTGCTTTAAGAAAGGCTTTTGAAAGTACAGCCTGGGAGCAAGGAGAAGAGATGTTTATTAAGGCTGAAAGATGGAGGTATGTTTTTACCCTGGACGATATCTAAGTCAGTCTTGGAGGAGGGTTGGCAACTGTCCCAATGTGCTTCTAGATGGAGAGAATAACCTGACATTTCAGGAGTTTTCTCTAGCTGTGATAAGAAGAGATTAGCTGTTAAGGAGTTAGACTAATGATTTGGATAAAGGAGGAGCTGAAAACAGCCCTTGCCCAGACCTTGGGCCAAATTCAACTTGACAAAAAAAGTTCAAAGGAGAAACTGGTGATTTTTGTTTTATATTTCAGCACATTCTAATATTGGTCCAGGCAAAAAATAGAAATCATAATACATCATCCAAACCTCCTTTTGTCAGTCTTTCCTGCCAGTGGCTATAGAACAAAGCTTGTGTTTTTTCTTGTGTGATTTCTTGACTTTAAAATGTGTCTGGATAGAAGTCCAGAACCAATATCCTAGCTGGCATATAGCGGCTCCCCTCTGAAGCTGCCAGGCAAGTAGCACTAAGAGAAGGTGTGTATATTAAATGTTCAGTGTTCTCCTGTTTAGCCATTTGCATTCAGTATTTAAATTCTCCCCTGAAGTTTGCTGCAGATCACACAAATCTTCACCCTGTCAGTGAGATATGCTTATGTATTACAGTTTTGAGTTGGATCAGAGCGGACTCTTCCCGTAACGAGTACAGATCACCTTTTTTCACACTGAGACACGAAGATCTCTCCCTCCCCTCCTCTCTCTATCTCCATTGTGAATTCAAAATACTAAAGAGTGAGTTGGAAAATGCAACAATTCAGAAAATCTAGGAGGCCTCTTCTACAGTGAATGTGTAATTTCAAATGCACGCACACGTTTGTTAAGCCTTGTCTAGGGAACTGCATTGTGTAATGACTCATAGACTGTATCAGCCTGCTCCAGCCCACCCAGTCGCAAACATAAACATACTTGAAACACAGACCTGTTTGCAAACTGCAGGTTATAACAGAGCTTTTACCTGAAAAAATGAATAAACATTGGGAAGAACAGGAGATACAGCTCAACTGCTGATCTCTACTGCCTTAACAAGTGAAACACGTTATGGTAAAGTCACAGGAGCGGCATGCTGCTGTTTGCTGTGAAGCTACTTCTGTCTTCACCAGGACTAGCTCACTGGTGCTGGTGCTTTTAATATACCTCACGCACCTGCATGCCCCACCTGAAACCTTCAAGGAGGTCATGCAGTCAAATGAACACTGCATCATCAGTGAGAGAGGTATGGTTGTTAAGGGAGGTAACTAGCTCCTACTTTCTTGTTGTGTGGGGAGAAAATACACTTTGTTTCCCTTCTGTAAAATTCTGAACAACTTAAGGAAACAAACATGGTTGAATCAAACTCGTTTCTAATCAAGCTTTTACTTTCTAATAATTGCTTGTAAGATGTTGATGCAATTCACTGCACGGATCTACAGTATGCAGCACCTTATCTTGCCTGCACTAACTTATAAAATACAAGTACTCTTCGTAGTTTGTAGGATTAACAATCTCCCCATCCAGTACAAGTCCTAGATGTGCTTTGCTCATGTATGAGAACAATATTGAGCTGTTCTGCTAGCTTCTTTGCTCCCTTTTTCCCTCCCACAAAGTTGAGGAATGTCGCTTAAGATTATGAGATGTTTCACATTCTTCAAGCTGAAATTCGACACTGCTAATCCAAACAGCCAGACCTTTTGGCAGTTGGTTCCTAGTGCAGAGCTCTCCGATGGTCCAGCTGAAACATTGTGTGAAATATAGCTAAAAGCATTGGGGAGAGGGCCACCTTTGAAAGAAAGTCTCATTAAAAAGTTTAGTTTAACAAGCTGGTGACAGGCATTTCACAAAGCAAACCTACAAATTAAAGCTCAGTTATGCATACATGCCTTGTTGTTCAGTTTTGTCTTAGAGTGAGGTGGATTAATTAAAAATGTAGAGGAGTGAAGTTTAGAGTAAGATAAAACAAATTTATGCGTACCTTTGTATAGGCAATCCACTCTTCTGAAAGAAAGTGAGATATTCGTGTTACTTGGTCAGAAAGCAAGCAAGTGATCTGATTTTGTGGAAAAAATACTCATTTGTTAAGAGAAATATGCTACACGGACTTAGGTATTGGCTAATTATTTTCACTGTTGTGGAGAACAGAGGACAACTCATTTGATATCCAGAATGTTTTCTGTATTTGAAGGAGGGGAAAATAACTTTTGGTCTGTGGCACAAAACTGACTGGTTAGTAAAGAGCTATACACCTATTTGACACCATCTATGTTCAGTGAAAGATTATGTAGGTGCATTTCATGAGGATGGAGTCAAGCATGTGTCTGAATTTAACTGCTTGTGCAAGTAATGCAAGGTCTTTGAGAGAAGATCTAGTAGCAAACCTGGCTTATGCAGTGCCTCTCCTTTTCTCCTTGGGGTAAAGTTATGGGGGATAGCTGAACTGTAATTTGCTGCAGGGAAAGACAGAGGGCTAGCTTCTCCCTTGCTTATTTGTCTTTACTGATGCTGGCGCTTATTGGACCAGTGTTTCTTTCATTCAGAGAACACTGCACTATTGCCTCCTCATTTATGGAGCTGAACATAAAAATGAAGGGGGCTAATGAGTGGCAGAGCTAGGTAAGTGGAAAAGAAGAAAGGGAATGGGACCTCTTCCTCTTGTAGTAGCAAACCTTAAATTTGGCTCAACCATGATTTCATTCTTGATTTTGTTGGGGTTAATAACGTTGTTCAGTAAAACAGAATAGAGAGCTGCCCTGGTTTAGGAAGAACCCTGCTGAAGGACCCTGAAAAGAAAATAATCTTCTAAAACCCAAACCAGAACTGGATAAGTTCTTTCATAAACCCATACACAATTATACTGGCCCAGCAGGGTGAATGGACAGAGGTGGGAAAGAGTGGGCATGTTCAGGAGCGGACTAGGCCAACCTGTTCACCAAGAGACAAGGCTGGAACTGCTGTCTCTTGTTGATTTGGAAGGAATAAATATCCCTTCCTGATGATCCTAGAAGGTCTGTTGTATCAAAGGAGCATGGGCCAGGTTGCAGTTCAGTTTAAGAACTGTGGTTTTGTTTATGTGCTGGGCCATGATGGACCAACACCAAATAAGCAAGACTGAAAAAGAGGTTGCATAATCCTGTTCCTCTTACCTGGACACCCTCCTGTTGTGCAGGGCTGGGGCAGGGGAATCTCCTAGGCAGAGTAGCAGAGTTGGCTCTCCAGGAGTTTTGGAGTGTCTTGTTGGGACCACCACTGTTGCGAGGATCTTTTTGGCTTGTCAGCTTTGATTCAGGGCTGGTAGACTCTGGATCTGCTATAGTTGTCTCAGACTTGGCTTTGGAAGACAGTAGTTTTGCATGGACACAAGAAGGCAACGACAATGAGGAAGTTGTAGTGCACCGAGGTGGACACTTACAAATGTGGTGGAGAGAGCTGGTGTATTCCTTTTGATTCCCCAGCTGAGCTGTGTCAGAGCAGTCCTGAAATGACAGTGCTTGTGAGGCAGAGGCCATCCTTAGACGCCTTAAAGTTGGAGAAGTGGAAATTCTGGCCAGAGCATGCCGATCAAACTGGAAAGGTGCATGGTGGCTCCCAATGCACTCCTCTGTGGGAAGCTTCAGAAGTGAAGACTCTGTATAACCTCGTCTTCGAATGTAGTCACCTGAAGTCTTGGTGGTGTCCCTACAAACTGATACCGCCTGTGCCTCACAGGAACTGAAGACATCTTCTAGACTGCTGCTTCCGGACAAAGTAACATTTTCTTTATGAAGATTTGCTTCCCTGTTTCGAAGTTCCATGCTGATGCAGGTTTCTTTGATCAGGTCTGGAGAATAATCAGAGCTTGGTTGTTGCATTCTTTATTTGCAGCATGAAGATTTATAGCTGTGTGTACCCAGGAAAACATAATCAGGAAAGGTTTTTAGAAACTTGCTGTATGATTTTTATGTGGGAAAATATGCAAATGGAAAAAAATCTAAATAAAATAATGTAGATATGTGCACTAGGACAGAAACAATTGCCTGCACTTTGAATCCTGCTTAAATGCAGGCTTCAACAGTTTCAGGACCCAGTTTCAGCAAGCTGTTTAAACAGCTGCTAACTTTGAGTGTGCAAGCAGTGTCAGCATCAGTCAGTCGCACTAATTAGATGGTAAGGACTAACCATGTGATTAGGAACTCTGCTCATCTGGTACTGCAGCCACCTAATTTCCTATTGCCACTCCCCAATCAGTGAGTGACATTGTGATACTGCTGTACATGGGCTAAAAATGAAGTCACTAGCTCTCAGGACTCCTACTTGTTGCAAAATCCTTTATGTACAAACACTAATTACTTGCTGAATGCTTAAGCAAATACAATTTAGCATTTATGTAAGGTGAGTCTAATCACTCTTTCTTTTCTTTTTGGCAGGAAAATATTTTGTAGTAAACATTATGTATATGTTGTAATCAAATAATGAAGATAATTTATCAAAGTAACATCTGTTGATTGATCAGTAAATAATCTTACGTTCTGTGGTTCATGAAGCTCTATCTTAAGGTATTTTGATGACTAGTCATCATTTCAAGTTATAACTGAAGATTATTAATTTAACCTCTTCAACCTCCTCTTTAATTCGATTTCTTTGTTTGCTAAGAGGAATCTTAAATCTGTTCATGATTGATGGCTTGTTTTGGGCACTTTTGTTTATTAGAATGAGTTTATTCAACTATATGTTGACATTTTTCTTGAGCTATTGAATATCACACATTGAATATGATTTTGTCTAATTATATAGACCCATCAGATCGATTTATAAAGTGATTAGAAACAAATTATTTCATCAAGTTTGCTAGTTCAAAGTATTGCTTTTTACAAACTTTTCAATTCACCAACATTTTTAATAAGTTGAAACTTATGACTTTCTTTATGAGTACTTATGAATTACTTCTATGAGTAGAATCTCTCAGCAGCAAAATATTTGTAAAGAAAACACATTGTTTTAAAAAGTGCAGAAATATGCCCCGCACATGCAGAAAGATTAGTGTATATCATTAAACTTACCAAGGGAGCCAGGTGAAGATTTACCAGCTTTCAATGTGTCACATCCTTTTCATATGCAATTAAATCAAATTTTCAGCAAGTTCTTGGTTAACTGATACTAGGCTTAGCCGTAGCATTTTCTCTTTTAAAGCCTCCTTACTGAATGCGGGTATAGGGAACTAGTTTTTCTTCTTGTAGATTTGTTTCTAGGGGATTTGTTTATCAGGTCAGACGGAAGTGGCTTCAGGATCAATGCCTGTTTACAAAAGGTAACATGATCCATACATTTTATTAAACTTCATTCCTTTTATATTTTTTTTTTGTACTTTTCATGTTGATAAAGTTTGGCAAGAGAGATCTCAGTCAGGTATAATAAGTTGCAAGAGCAAGTGAAATGCTCCACACCTCCAACAATCCTTTTTTTTTTTTTTTTTTATTTTCCACTTGCCTTGATTCATTCAACTGGATCTAACTATGCATTGTTCATCTTTCACGGAAGAATAGTAGTGATATATCCCTTGGTTACATTATTTACAATTAGATTTTAATTTTAACAACTGTGCTAACTATCTGAGTAATTCTGAACACAGACAGATTTTAGTATCGGAGTGTTTGAGAATTCATCCAAACAATAATTCACTATTTTGTTGTGTTGCAGAATGAATTGAAACCAGCAGAACTGATTTGGGAGTTCTTTCATTGAGTGAATTGAAAGTGAAACTTGGGAAAAGATGGTTTATTTGGTAGATAACTTGTAAGGAAGCACTAACCTCCACAAATGTTCGTATCTATTGTGTAATTAACACACGTTTTCAGAGGACTGAGTGAACACTTGCAAATGAAGACAACCTTTGCAGTATGACGTTTTCTTTTTCTGTAAAGATTTTTTTTCAAAACTCATCCACAAACCAAAACATGAGACCCCAAACTGGTATAAGTGCCTTTGATTTTGCTAAGCATTCAGTATGATTGTGTATTGAAGGAGGATTATTCCAAGGGAATGAAATAATCAAACAAACTCAGAGACTCTATTTGCAAGACTGTGACAGTATTACAGTATTTATTTTAGTATTCATCCAGTTTGGCTTCTAAGAAAAAAAGATGATTTAAAAAAAATAAAAATGTGCTCACATTGTCTGACAGTTGATAGTACAAGTGTATTCACTTTAAGTAGGACTTTTAGGAACATAAGACTTTTTTTTTTTTAACCACTTATGCTGCTCTCAAGGTGATATAAGGATCAGATGAAATGGAACAGAACTTGTTGCCTGATGAAATATGCAAATGTCTGGAGATTTTACAGTGTTCAAAGCTGTCCTTTCCGACCCCACAGGAGAGACCCAGGTGCACTGCAGCTGGGCACGTTGGGCTGGTGAAGGTCTCCAGGAAGAAGTATAGCCTCAGTGGGAAGACGACAGACGGTCAGCAAGTGAATCCCTTCCTGGGTGGGAAAACGACCTCTGCAGTGGGGAGAGCTGAGAGCTGTGTCCTCTGCTCCTGGCGCTCCATATTTTTTTGTGTAGTGCATAAACAGGATCTTCTGCTGCCTAATTGAAATTTGCTGAATTTGCTTTAAAGCTGCTACTATGATTTTACCTCCACAACTTATTATATGAAAGTATCTAGGTGGCCCTCTGCAAGCACCAGCCCCCAAATTAGAGCAGGGTCTCAGACCAGACCTTACTGCTGCTTTCAGCTCACGGAAACCTCATCCTAAATCTAACCCTAACTAATGTCTAAACATTAAAATGCTGTTCTGTTTGCCTGCATGCAATACAGAGGATGACAGAGGTGGCTGGGCTAGAAAGAAAGCTGTTGTGCACTTCTCAAATACCAATACCCATACCTGGGCCTTGATAGCTGCCATGCTGGATCATTTTTGAAAGAGACATTTGGGTAAATATTAGTGAAAGAAAGAAGTTAGAGTACTAGCTTGAGACCAGGGCTGGTGTGAAATACTCTCTGACATGTAGTGCTGGGACTGGTTTAAGTGGCTTTGGGTGTAGCTAGGCAAAACTGTTTTAAAGCCATGATTGATCAAGTAGGTCTGACTGAGACCTGGAGGTTTTCTCTTTTGGTTTGTTTATGGGTTGTTTTTGTTTGTTTGTTTGGGTTTTTTTCTTCATTTGTTTGTTTTAATTCTAGCCCAGACTTATCTTTAATGTGATCAGTATACTTACATTAACCTATTAGCAATTATATAAGAAGAAGTTATTCTATTTCCTTCCCATTTGCTGTGAAATTAAGAATTAAAAATACTCCAAGTTTTAAGCACTTCTCTTTCTTAAGTTGTGGGGCTATTTTTGGATGTAGGTGAAATCACAATTGTCCTTATTTTGCACAGAATTCACTTGCACTGCCTAATTTGCCTCTTGTTCCTAATAAAGAAAGTACCCCTCTCAGCTTGAACAATGTACCTGTGCTTAACTGGCTCCCATCATCACCTCTTCTCAAGTTACATAAGCCACTACCTTTCTAAACAAGTATCATCCTAGCTCCAACTATAATCTCAATCCTAGACAAACCTTTGCCATAGCATTAATTCCGTGAACAATAATTTTCATCCTCAGAAACAAATGTAGCCAAGTCATTTAACTGACTAAGCTTTAGACACCTTCCATGTGCTTTCTAAAATAAATAATCACATTAGGTGAATGGCCTTTTCTGGTCTAAATCCTAACATTCATGCTCAAATCTCAGCTTTCTGTCAACTAACTTTACTCCTCCAATCTGAAGCTGAAGTTAATTAGTTACCTTTTAGGCATTTTTTCCTGCTAGTTGCCTTCGAGCACAGCCAGTGCCTCAGTTCATGGGCCTTTGCTGACCTGGACTGTAATGCTGCCATTGGCCTTAGTCATGGTCTTTTAAACATCTGCAGGGTTTGCCAGGTGACTCCTCCCAGGGTTAATCTTCAAGTTAGACCTATGCCCACATATGGATCAAGGTGATACTTCAGGTCCATGATCTCTGCTAACTTTGAACACAACCATGTCTATCTGAAGTGTTTTCTCCAGCCCTGCTTCCCTGGTTGTTCCAGAAATACACACAGACAGATGTCCTCACCGGCTTCTGCAGTCACCTTCTGAACTCATGTATTAATCATGCTACTAAGCCTCTGGATGCTGATACCTTATGCTTCATATCACCTCAGCAATGTAGACCAGAGATTCGTCCAGCCAGCCTTCTCCCCCCTTCACCTAAGTCATTTCTTAATGTAGGATTTCTGTCTGTACAGATTCTGTCTGTACAGCTCCTTATCCTCTCATTTGCTTTATCCTTAGCATTAGGGTAGCCTCACTTATTCGCCAGAGGACTGACTATAGCCAGGTGACCAAACCTGTTCTCAGCTTTGCTGCCTTGCCTCTTAAGAGCTAAGCGGTTCTTATAGTTTATAGTTTTCTACCTTATCTAACCCAGAACTCAGGCTGAGCTGTAGCCTTTAGGCTTGTCTTTCTAAATAGGTCTCTAGAGCACAAGTGAAGCTTAGTCTCAGGGCAGAGAAATAAATGAGTGCAACATTGTCTAGAAGTGCCTCACAGCTCTGTCATGGATCTCCCTCTAGCTGTAACACACCTATCTGGCCTTTTGGTTACTGACAACCTCCAGAGTGGAAGGTCCAGAAATAAAATTATGTGGTCCATGATTATGTACCTCCAGCAATGTCCCTGCAGGTTCTTCAGAGATATGTAGATTATCAGGGATGACTGGAAAAGTTCTTAGCTTTCTTCGTGGGTTTCCAAGTATCTTTTGTAGCATTTGTTCTTTCTTGTGTTTCC